AAGAAAGGAAAACACTCGAACGTCTGGCACGCCGCGCTTCCCTGTGGCAAACCACAGGGGGCGGCGGATCGAAGACGCCTACAGCGAATCACCGCCGCCCCCTGCCGTTTTGGAACCGCCTGTGTGGCCGAAAGTTGGGCCAGAGCTTGGCCGAGCTATCGGACCATGTGCTCCCCCAGTAGTCGTTGAAACCCTTCGGGGAGCACGTGAGGAAGAGGAGAATGAGGAGAAGAAGGGAAAGAGAGGAGGAGGAGGAGGAAAATCAGGAGGAGGAGTCATTGGACCTCTTTGGGGCCTCCTGGAAGATGCCTGGGAGCCTCTTGGAGGCATCGTGGGGGTCTCCTTCGGCCTCCTGGGGGCCTTCGGGGGCTTGTTCGGGGCCTCGTTGGCCGTCTTAGGGCGTTCCTGGGCCGTCTGACGCCGTCGGGAGCCGTCTTTGGGGCCTCTCTGGGTCGACTTGGGGCCCTCTTGGGATGCTCCAGGGCCGTCTTGTGAGGCCACCTAGGACATCTTGGAGGCCCCTTGGGCCGTCTTGAGGCCCTCTTGCAGCCGTCTTGGGGTCCCGCTTGGGGGCCTCTTGGGCCGTCTTGGAGACCTCTTGGGAGCCTCTTGGGCCGTCCTGGGCCATCTTAGAGCCATCTTGGGCCGTCTTGATGGCCTCATGGCCCGTCTGACGCCGTCGGAAGCCGTCTTGAAGGCCTCTCTGGACCGACGTGGGGCCCTCTTGGGGTGCTCCAGGGCCGTCTTGGAGGCCGTCTAGGGTGTCTTGGATGCCTCCTGGGCCGTCTAGGGTCCATCTTGGGGCCTTCTTGGGGGCCTCTTGGGCCGTTCTGGGCCATCTTGGAGGCCTCTTGGGCGATCTTGGGGCGATCTTTGGGGTCTCTTGGGCCGTCTCGGGCCGTCGGAGGGCCGAAAAGCAGCACATGCCAAAATCCTTCGAAAACCATGGGGACATCAATGAGTTTGGCCTCTTCGGGCCTTCCAGGAGGACCCTCTTGGAGATCTCATGGGCCGTCTTGAAGGCATTTTGGAGGCCTGTGGGGCCGTCTTGGAGGCTGGCATCTTGGACTCTCTTGGGCCGTCTTCGAAGCCTTCTTGGACCATCTTGGAGGCCATCTTGGCCGTTTTGAAGGCCATGTGGGGCGTCTTAGGGATTTGTTTGCGGACGTTGTGCTTGTTTCGAGTCCCTTCCGGGTGGCCGGCGGGACGGGCCGAAGCCCCAGGGGAGAGTTCTTTTGGAGAAAGAAACAAGACCAAACCAGTAGGATCTAGCACGACGGGAACTTTGTGGCAAGACCACAGGGGGCGTCGGATCGAAGACGCCTACGGCGAAACACCGCCGCCCCCTGCCTTTTTGAAAGCGCCTGCGTGGCCGAAAGTTGGGTTTGAGCTTGACCAAACTATCGGGCCACGTGTTCCCCGAGTGGGCTTCGAAAGCTTTCGGGGAACACGGAGTCGGGCGAGCTGTCGGACCAGGTGGTTTCCGAGCTTTCGGGTTTCCTGGAGGACGTCTTGGAGGGTTCTTGGGCTGTTTTGGAGGCCTCTTGCGGGCCTTTTGGGCAGTCTAAGGCTATCTTGAGGCCATCTTGGGCCGTCTTGGGCTCTTCTTGGGGCCCTCTCGGGGGCCTCTTGGGCTGTCATGGCGCCATCTTGGAGGCCTCTGGGGCGCTCTTGGGACGATGTTGAGGGCCTCTTGGGCCGTCTTGGGCCGTCGGAGGGCTGATAAACAGAAAATGCCCGAATCCTTAGAAAATTCTTTGAAACGGGGCCTTCCTGGAGGACGTCTTGGAGGCCTCTTAGGGGGCCTCTTGCAGGCCTCTTGGCCAGTCGTAGGCCATCTTGGACCGTCTTGGAGGCTTCTTGGACGAACTTGAAGGCATCTTTGACTCTCTCGGGCCGTCGTGGAAGCCATCTTGGACCATCTTTGGCGATTTGGACGCCGTCTTGGGGGCCATCTTGGGGGCCATCTCGGGCCAACGTGATCGTCTTAGAGGCCATCTTGAGCCGTCTTGGATGATTTGTTGCAGTCGTTGAGGTGGTTGCGGGGCCTTTCCGGGACCCCGGCGGGATCGGCCGAAGCCCCGGGGGGAGCCCTTTTGGAAAGGAACCAGAACGAAAATCGGAAGGATCTGGCACGCTGGACATTCCTGTGGCAAGCCAACAGGGGCGGCGGATCGAAGACGCCTACGGCGAACCACCGCCGCCCTCTGCCTTTTTGGAAGCGCCTGTGTGGCCGAACGTTGAGGCCAGACCTGCCAAGCTATCGGACCATGTGTTCCCCGAATTGGTTTGGAAAGCCTTCGGGGAACACGTGGGCATCTTGAAGGTCATCTTGGCCTCCTGGAGGCCATATTGACCCTTTCGGGCCTTTTTGGAGGATGTCTTGGAGGCCTCTTGGGCCGTCTTGGAGGTCATCTTGAGCGTCCTGGAGGCCTCTTGGGCCGTCTTGGGGGCCTCTTGGAGCCGTCTTGGGCCTCTTGGGCGATCTTTGGGGGCGCTTGGGCCGTCGCGGGCCGTCGGAAGGGCGAAAACAAGTAAATGCCACAATCCCTCAAAAACTCATGGGAAATGCTTCCTGGAGGCCCTCTTGGAGGCCTCTTGGGCCGTCTTGGGCCATCTTAGTGCCATCTTCGGCCGTCTGGGGTGGCCCCCGGCCCGTCCGACGCCGTCGGAAGCCGTTTGGGGGGCCTCTCTGAGCCGACTTGGGGCCCTCTTGGAATGCTCCAGGGCTGTCTTGGAGGCCAACTTGGGCGTCTTAAAGGCCTCCTGGGCCGTCTTGGGGGCCTCTTGGGGCCGTCTTGGGGGCCTGATGGGCTGTTCTGGGGCCATCTTGGAGGCATCTTGGGCGATCTTTGGGCGATCTTTGGGGGCTCTTGGGCCGTCTTGGGCCGTCGGAAGGCCGAAAAGAAGCAACTGTCAAAATCCTTCAATAACCTACGGGAAATCAATGTTTCTGTTTTTTTCTGGCCTTCCTGGAGGCTGTCTTGGAGGCCTCTTGGGCCGTCTTGGGCCAGCTTCGAGCCAACTTCGGCCATCTTGGTGGGCTCCTGGCCCGTCTGACGCCGTCGGGAGCCGACGTGGGGTCCTCTGAACCGACGTGGGGTCCTCTTGGGATGCTCCAGGGCCGTCTTGTGAGGCCGTCTTGGGCGTCTTGGAGGTCTCTTGGGCCTCTTGGGGCCGTCTTGGGGGCCCTTGTGCCATCAAGGGGCCCTCTTGGAGGCCTCGTGGGCGATCTTGGAGGCTTCTTGGGCCGTCTCGATCCGTCAGACTGCCGAGAAGAGGCAAATGCCAAAATCCTTCAAAAACCTCAAGCAAATTCTTCGGGCACTCCTGGAGCACCTCTTGGAGGCCTCTTGGGCCGTATTGAGGCCTCATGGGCCGTCTTGGGCCATCTTGAGGCTATCTTACACCATCTTGGGTACATCTTGGGCCGTCTTGGAGGCATCTTGGGGCCATCTTAGCCGTCTTGGAGGCCATCTTGGCTGTCTGGAACCGGGTCCCAGCAAATTGTCGGCATCCTTTCGGGTGGCCGGCGGGACGGGCCGAAGCCCCAGGGGGAGTTCTTTTGGAAAAGGAACCAACGCCCAAACCGGGAGGACCCAGCACGCCGTGCACCCCTGCGATGAATCGACAGGGGGCGGCGGATCCTCTGGCCTTCGGCCCATGCTGCCACCGTGCCTGGGCTGTAGGTCAGAGGCCTCCCGGGGCCCTCCCGGCCCGCTTCTGGGACGCCCGCGGCTCCGAACAGAGAGTCCTGCGGCAGGCGCCAGGGAGCCGCAGCGGGCACGCCGGGGGACCCGGAGAAGCTTGGGGCCTTGGGGTCAGGGCCGTGTGTGCCCCCTGAGATTCCATCCTCCAAGCAGTGGCGGAGCGTCCCGGCGTGCCTATAGCCCTACCAAACAGTGTTCTAAGAACCTGTTGTGGCTGCCACGAACTGTTCTCAGAGCATTTCTGGCCGGGACTGTCTTGTCTTAACGCGCGAGGGTTATGTTCCAAGAACATTGTGTCTGTATGTAGAACAGTGTTGGGTTCTGAGAACATTTCGTGGTAGGACTGTAGGAGTGCCGGGACGGTCGGTCCCTGCTCAAGTCCTGAGGCCTATAGGGCTACGAGGGGCCCTATGTGGGGCAACTCCACCCGGAGGCGAGGCTGGCGGAGGGCGCCCGGCTCGTGCCCGCGCGGCGCGCGCCTCGGAGGCGGCGCCCTTCTCATGTCTGACGCCCTCGTTTTTCGGCCTCCTCCTCCTCTGAGACTCCTCCTCCTCCTCCTCCTCCCCTCCTCTCCTCCTCCTCCTCCTCCTCCTCCTCTCCTCTTCCTCCTCCTCTAAGACTCCTCCTCCTCCTCCTCCTCCTCCTCCTCCTCCTCCTCCTCCTCCTCCTCCTCCTCCTCTAAGACTCCTCCTCTAAGACTCTCAGAGGGCGGAAGACTGGGGCGCCGCATGGGTTGGCATCGGCGTGCGGGCTTTCGCCTGGTGGCCGCCCGCGGGCGCTCGGTCGTGTGCATTTCTCTTCGGCGAGGACCATCGAGGAGCGTCCTCGACCATCGCGCGAAGCAAAAAACACGGCCGAGACCGAGTGCATGGGGAACGGACGTCCGAGCGATTGCAAGCGCTCGTGTCTGGCGCCCGGCGCTGTTTTTTTTCTGGGGCGTCGTTGGCCCAGCCTATTTTTGGGGCTTGGTATCGTTTATCCGATCCCCATCCCCATCCCCATCCCCTTTGAGACCCCCACCGAATTACCACCCCAGTTGGGGACACCCCTCGAGACCCGAAGGGAACGGCCTATATCCCCATCTAGGGGGGTGAATCGGCCAGTGGGGCCCAGGCCACGCCGCTGGGGATGGGGATCGGCTAGACGATACTCAGTTTTTTTTCTGGGGCGTCGTTTGCCCAGCCGATTTCTTTGACGAGGGGGACGGCGACCCGGACGCCAACCTCTGCGCACGCAGCGGCACTCCGACGCGTGCCTCGCGGCACGGTGGCGGGTTTCTTCACCGCCTGGATGCCGATGTATTTCGACAAGAACTTCAGCATCGGCCCCGAGCGGTCGGCAGGGTACCTCTCGGTGGAGAAGTTCGCCGGCATCGGCGCGGCATACCTTCTCCGGTTTGTGGAGAGGGCTGTGCTCCAGAGAGAAGGCACTTCGCTGCTCTCTGCACGGCGATTGTTTGCGGGTGTAGGGTTTACCCTGAACGCCCTCTCGGTGTTGGGCCTCGCTTGGCTCTGCCGCTTCCGCGCGCACCCCATGGCGCCCGCGGCCACGAGCGTGCTGCTGTGCCTCAACTCGGTAGGCCTGTCCGCCCACAGCTTCGGATTCAAGCCAAACTACCTTGACATCACTGCCCGATTCTCGGGTGCCTTCATGGGCGTCGGGAACACTTGTGCGACGGCCATGACGTACATCGTGCCGCTGGCAGCAGCGTACATGGTGGAGGCCGCAGGGGGCGATTGGTCTGGCCTTTTCATCTGCGTCGCGATCCTAAACGTCGGTGGCGGGGTGGTGGGGGTCTGTCTTACCTCCACGGAGCGGCTGGACGAACGGCTTGGGGCCACAGCGAAGATCGGCGGCGAGCCCGGGGGGAGTGAGAAGGAGAAGGCCTTCTCGGAAGGCTCGGAAGTCCCCTGGCCTCCCGATAAGTTTTCGGAGCCTGCCCCGAAGACACCTCCTGAGGAATTTTCTGAGCCTCCCCCGAAGACACAGTAAACCTCTCAGAAGGCTCGAGGGCTTCTAATGAGAAGCCCCCCCGCCTTCTGAGGGGGCCTCCTCATCCTCCTCGTCCTCCTCCTCCTCCTCCTCCTCCTCCTCCTCCTCCTCCTTCTGCTCCTCTGCCTCCTCCTCCTCCTTCTCCTTTTCTTCCTTCTCCTCCTCCCCATCCTCCTCCTCCTCCTCCTCCTCCTCCTCCTCCTCCTCCTCCTCCTCCTCCTCCTCCTCCTCCTCCGCCCCCTCCTCCTCGTCCTCCTCCTTACTTCCCCCCCTCGCTCGCCGCCGAGAAGAAGGTGGACTAGCTGCCAGCGGGTCGTTGCTCGGCGGGCGGTGCCGTGCTCGCGCGCCAGCGGTGGCCTCTCCGCGCCTCTCAGGCCGGGCCCCTGCCCGCTCCGCATGCCCGCCACCCCGTGCTCCAGTCGGGCATGTCCCTCGATGGGAGGAGTGCTCAGGAGGAGGAGGAGGAGGAGGAGGAGGAGGAGGAGGAGGAGGAGGAGCAGGAGGAGCAGGAGGAGGAGCAGGAGGAGGCGGAGGAGCAGCAGGAGGAGGAGGAGGCGGAGGAGCAGCAGGAGCAGCAGGAGGAGGAGGAGCAGCAGGAGGAGGAGGAGGAGGCCCATGCCAAGAAACGCCCTGCCTGTCTCCAGGGTGCCCTGGGCTTCTTGGGTTTCGACGGTCGTGCTGCGGGTCGCGTGGCGCTCCCACACCAAACGTCGATGGACGCCCTTGGGTCTCAGGGTTGGGTTTCTTGTGGAAGGTTTCTTGTGGTCGAGCTCATACTGTAGTCGGGGGACGTTGTTTCGTGCTCTATTGACTATTGTTGATTCTGTTTTGGCTATGTCTTCATCTTTCTTCCAGACTCCGCCTGTAGGAGGACATGCCCGACCTAAACGCCAGCGGCCAGCCCGTTCCGCGCACTGCCACCCGTGCCCACCTCCCACCCTTCGTCCAACAACGTCGCGTCGTGGCGAGCAGGCCGAAGCTGGAGCCCCTCTGAGGGCGGCTTCCGCAGTTTTGGGAGCACAGACCGTAGAGGGCGCCCTTGCGGGCCCGGAAAACTATCCCATGAGGCAGTGCAGCAATTGCACTGGCTGGCGCAGCACTGCGGTTCGTGGCAGTGCACCTCCTCTTCGGCCTTTGCGCTTGTCCGTTCGGTGAGGAGGGGCATGATGAGTGGCCGTTTTCGTCGCCACAGCTGGGCGTGACTCGAGAAGCTTACCTAAATTGTACCAGGAACGCCTTGGGAGGCGTAGACTATTACATGTGGCCATTCGAACTGGCCGATTCTGAACTGTACGAGGTGCAGAGTAACTCGGCCGCGTCTGACACCGCTCCGGCGCATGACAGAAAGCGCCCACTCGAAGCGGATTGCTGTTTGCTGGTTGGTTTGTCACGGTTGCTCTTGCCACCTAGCCACCGTTGTGTCGAGGCCAGTTCAGGATCGTTCTACCTTGGGTCCACCATGGTACGTACCATATGTCCACTGCCCATGCGCTCTGCCAAGGTTTGGACTTTGTTCCGCAGGGCCCCCGTTGGCCCCCCATGACGCAATTGGGCTGTCTTGAGCGCGACTGTTCTGCAGAGATCTCTCAGAAACGGCTCGCTCGAGCTATGGCTCTCCAGGTCCCCCCGGGCCCTGACGACGCTCATGGGCCATTCCAGGAGGCTCGATTTTTTCCCAGATCTCCCAGCCGGTCTCAGTAAAGAGTCCTCTTGGTGTCGTCTGCGCGGGTCTTGCCGCCTTTGAATATTCATCACGCCGTCGTATTTGGCCATCTTGGCGGATCCTCCTGCCGTCATGGTGCCTTCTGGTGACCGCAGTTGGCTATTCTTGATTATGGCCTTGGCCATAAACTAATACCCCGATTTCCGAACCCAGTTCATGTTGGTTTCCCGGAGATGATATTGTTCTAGTTAGAATTGCCATACTTCCCAGAGCCAGCCCATGTTGTCCCCCAGGCGGCTTGTCGAGGTTATTCAGGTATTTGTGAACGTCATGTTGATCACGACGTTTAGGCTTCTTATGATAGTGATGAGCCCACTTCGGAATTTGATTACGGTTGTATTATGTTTCAGATGGCGTGTGCATACAGCTTAGCACGTGTACTTATAACTATATACAGAATCGCGGTTGAGGTTAGAAATTTAGCTAGATGTTCTTACTTCTGGTCGAAAGAATTGGGCCTGTGTGTCGGTCCGGCGGCTCCGTGCCAGCCGTCGCCGCCCCGTCGCCGCCTCGTTACTGGCCGTCGCCTGAGCTTTGTGTCGGTCTTGCAACTCCGTGCCCGGCGTCGCCGCCCCGTCGCCGCCCCGTCGCCGCTGGTGATTTGCACCACGGAAATTTTGGAGGGTGAAAGTGGGGGTCGGGTGCAGGGTCCCGGAAATGGTGTCTTTATGGGCCATGAATGAGCGATGCATCCTCGATTGCTGTATTCGGCGGGGGTGCCAATTGAAGCTCCCCGCCTGCACCCATGCGCGAGACTTGAAGGGAAACGACGCAAGGGGGCGGGGGGGCTCGGGAAAGGCGACGAAGGCAACGTGCGCTGAGGGCGCAAAAAGACAAGGTTGAAATAAACGAAAGCGGTGAGGTGAGTGTCAAAATCTGCCCAGCCAATCTGACATGCGGAGCACTGCGCCTCAGGTTTGGGGATCTTGAAGGCCAGGGCAAAATGTGAATTCACATAGTGGGGAGAAGCAAAATGTGAACTCACATATTGGGAAAAAAGGAAATGTGAATTCACATTTTGTAATTTTGTGTAGGAATCTTTCTGAAAGGGGCCAGAATGTGCATTCACATTTTGGGAAAAAGGAAAATGTGAATTCAAAGGTTGGGGAAAAGGAAAATGTGAGTTCACATTTTGGGAGAGTCGCGCGACCCATTCCAAATCTGTCTTGGGGGTCGATAGGTCATCATTTGGGAACATACGCGATCATCAATCGCACAACCCAGACACACCTGCACTCCACTTCGCAACCCCGCGCGCAGAACGCAAGAACGCCCGCACGCATGAACGATAATGGATGGACGGCGCGTGTGCCCACGCGGGCAACGCGCGGGCACGAACGACTGGTTTTCCATGACCGCCAACATTGGATGCCAATCGTTCCCGATCACATACATGAGCGATACATTGAGCATACATGGGCCATTCAGCCTCCATTGAAGACCCCGGGTTGCAGACCCCCTCTTTCACCCTCCAACAATTGCATGCACCAAAAAAACAGACGCGCCTGCGGCACGCTTCCTGAGAGCTCACAACAAAGACTGCACCACGTAGATTCCCTTTTACTACAATGTTATCAGGATCGATCACCCCGGCCCGGACTTATCGGGCCCGGGTCACCTTCAATCTACATACGATTTTGCCCCATGGTCCATCCTAAATGTGAACCCGCGTCATCTCAGCCGACCTGGTAACGGCCCCCCTCTCATTCTCTGCAAGAGATGCTATTTGCGCACACTCGTTTATCTAAATGCATCAGACTTCAAAAAACCCTTGCAGCAGATGTGACGAGGTGCGCACGCGGGCGTCGTCGCTCGCGCATGCCGGAGCCCGTTGAAATCTTCAGGTGTCGTAAGGATTTCAAAACCGCGCGCCACGGCAACTGATAGTTTTGCAACACGGTTTCAGGTCCTCTAGAAAACCATCGGTCTGCAGAATTTTATCATAATGCTATCAATATGGCCTGTCGCGCGCGCATGCCGACATCGTTCGAACGCCCTTGCGCGCGTGCTGTCGCCAGAATCCTGGAAACGCACGCGCGCGTCGTCGCGCGCGTGCCGAAATTCGTCAGGAACCTTAGGCTTGGGAAAGGGTTTCGAAACGAGTGTCCCGAGCACATAAAACAACTTATGGTTTTGCAACATCAGTTGTCAAAAAAAAAACTGCGCGCGCGTTCTTACGAATCCTTTAGACATCTATAGGTTTCATTTCCAACGTTGCCATCCAATTTTGCCAAACGGGCCTCTCGTGCCGCATGTCGAATTCATCCGAACGTCCTCGCGTTCGTGCTGAGGAGACGAGGCCCGTGTCGAATAATACTACGCGGGCCACTCGCGCGCGTCGGCCGTGCGCGCATGTTGAACTCACGCCGAACCTTTTTCATCACCGACGCGAAGACATCGTCACCGTGTATCGGCGGGCATGGTCAGCATCGGCGCCGTCGTTGGCCTTGCCGTCGTCATCGCCACCATCGCCGCCATCATCGCTACTCTCATCACCGCGTCTGCCGTTGTCGGCGTCGCCATGAGATCGCCCCCGCCCAAGTCACCGACTCGCACTGAAACGCACCCGTTTGGAAGTGCCCAGCGGTCGGCGTCTTCGGCGGCCGCGCCGCAATAGTTGGCCGTTGCGCGCGCGAGCATCCACGGGGTAGCGCGGCTGCAGAGACGTACCAGCCAACGCCAAGCATTCATCGCAATCGCCGCTGCATGGGTTTTGCAGACCAGGTTGCGGGTGGGTGGGTGGGATGATTGCGCGAGCAGTGGAGTTGACAGCTCACTGCGAGCATTTGCGGATTGCACAACACAGACAGACGGCGCCACATACATTGCACAACACTATGGTGCACAATCGCATATATTGCACCACAGAGGTTGCACCGCATATGTTGAACAACCGATTGTGCACAACATGGAGTTCACCACATACCGTGTCCCACATATGGCGCTACATAGAATGTGCAACATACGTTGCCCCAAATATATTGCACGTCGTACAATGCGCCACAGTATCGGCACATCGCATTTTGCGCAACATGTATTGCACCCCGTACGTTGCACAACGTAGATCGCTCCAACTTTGCTGCGCCACATGGATTGCACCACTTAAAATGGTGCACATACATTGTACATATATATATATATGTCTGACACTACACAGCCTGCACCACACAGATTACACAACATGATTTGCACACCGTTCCTTTCTTCAACATTGCTTGCACCATGTAGCTTGCACCACAATTTTTGCTGCACACAGATTGCACCACATCTATAACTAGCACCACCGTTGTTTTCAATCGAATTTTGTTTGGGGTCCACGCAGGCTAACCGAATTGCATTTCGGTTGTACACACTCCTCAGGCGTAATACATAACGCACCAATATCAATCCTTGCCCTCGTCAGCAGCGCCTACCTCGCGGGCCCATTATTGCCACTAGGATTCTATCCCCCCCAAAAAAGGGAACAGTTTGGCGAAGGGCAGACACATCCCGCGCCTGTGCCCAAGAGGTCTTCGAACCTCTGCCCCGCTCCCCTCAAGTTTTCTCGGCGCGCCAGCTACTCTGCAAGCCGTCCAGCACTCCTGCTATGCCTCGGTTTGCTGGACTGATCCCGCCTCAGTCGTCCTTGTGCGCACGTAAGCCGAAGGTGGGTGAAGATTATCGCGCTTCGCTGCCTGAGCTGTGGTACGAAGATAATCGCGCTTCGCATTTCGCGCGGCGCCCATTTGTTACTTCGGAACTTCGCGGGGACATCTGGACCGTTCTTCTTTTCGCCATGGCCTCCGTCTTCCCTTCCTCCCGCGCTAGCTGACCAGCTCGCAGCGGGCGGCAGGGAAACGATTCGCCACCTCGCCGACTACGTTCTGGTGTGGGCTGGTGGAGGCTCGCTCAGGGAGCTTGCAGTTGCCCATGCCATCACCTGGGAGACAGTGAGCGTCGTGGTCGCCGCTCTGGAGCTCGTGTTAAGTTGCTCAATCAAAGGGCTGCATTTATCTGATTACTCTCACTTGTTTGCCTCACTATGTGCCGGCTGTAATTCTCTAAGTCGGCGTGCCTGCAGGAGCCTTGCTCTTTTGAGTGGATCCGAGTAGTGGTCCACATCGCTTGCCTTCGATAACACAGATGCTCTCCATCATCTCTGTACTTCAATGTCCTCTCTGTCGGCGTCCCCTTGCAACTTGATTCGGCATCGTTGTCGGTCGGCGTCGGGGGGCAGCGCGGCCCCTCAACCTTCTCCTCACCATCCCATCTGCCAGAAATTTACTACTCAGCGTCGTTAGCAGGCTCATTTATGATTCACTTGGCAGTACCGTTGCGTAGTGTTCTGCTTTGCCTAACTCAGCTGAACCAGCTAAGCCCCAGGTGCAGCTTTTGCGTTATTTGAGACTGCCGCGGGCAGATTTAGTTTCGGCGTTGGGTCAGCTTACTTCAAACTTGGCATTCTAGTTGGGCCTGGCCAGGTAGCAACGAAGAGTATCAATCATTCAAGCGTGTATGGAAGCAAGCACGAACACACTCACGCACGGAACGTTTGACAGAGTGCCTTCATGTGTGGACATTTTGGCAATTTCAGACGTTCTTCGTTTGGCGTGGCGCGCAGGCAACTCACGCATGTCATAAGCGCTCCGCTCCCACGCGCTGTTCAGTGGGCGCGAAGGCGGCACATGGGGACAGGGAACACCTCGGAAGCAGAGGTGGAGCGGGTGCGTCAGGGATGTGTGTTTGCGTTCTTCCTCGGGTGCCTCGAGCAGTTCAGCCCAGCTAGGGCTCAGCTCCATGCCCGCGAGCCCCTGCCTCAGGATGCAACTCCTGGCAGCTTCCATTCAGTATCGCCGCTGGTACATCCGTACTGGATATCCGACATGATCCCGCTTGATCCCGCCTGATCCAGCTCAATCCTGGTCTCGCCTCAGCGCCGGCCACATCCCCAAGTGTGTATTGTGCCGCCGATCGACGCCATCCGCAATCACATGCTGCGACGCTTATGGTATGCGCCTTGGAGGGGTTGTCCGGGTTGTCTGGGGGGTTGTCCGGGGATTTTGTTGATACGATTTGTTCCTACTGAACATAGCAACCCCCAGCTTGATCTGGCCTGGTCCTTCTGAGTGGCCTTCTGATCGGGATCCATCGCCCAAGCTCCTTCCGACGAAGGCCTCCCAGGAGTCGTCCTTCCCAACCTGCCGCGGTAACCTGCCCGAGGGGCCCCGCCCAGCAGGACTTCGGCTGAGGTCGGCCCCATGCCGCCGCCTGCCGCCGCTGGCGCCGCGCTTCCTGAACGGCCGCGGGGGCCGCGGGCCGCGGCAGGCGGCGACGACCTGGCCAAGTCACCGCACCTGGCGCGCATCGGCAACTCGGCCCGCTCGCGGGGCGGGGGGCGGGGGGCACTCTAGGCCTCCCAGGTGGGGCCCACGCGGATGGGGTCGGAGGATCGCGCCGCATCGCCGATGCCTCGCCCATGCATCGCCGAGGCGGCTCGATGTGGAGTCCGATGTTCTTCACGCCGACGGCGCCGATGCATCACCAACGTCACCGACGCATCGCCGATGCATCGGCGATGCCTCGGGGATGCGGCGCGATCCTGCGACCCCGTGACTCCGACCCCCATGCCGGAGGCCGCCATACTCGGAGGAGGGCCTGCTGACACAACGACAGCTGGCCTCTCGGGGGCCCCTCTCGTCGCCATGAGGCCGTGCCCTCCTGGGGTCCTGCTGCAGGGCTCTCGCAGTGACGCAGGAGGACCACAGAGAAGTCCCACGACCAAGGACCAGAGCCCGAGATCACCCGGGTCCGGCAGCAGCTCGGCGCGAGACTCCCTCGCCGAGGTTTTGTTTTCCAGGAGTCGTGCCCTCGCCTTGGGTGCCAGCTGCGTTGCTGGCCTGGACGGCCACGGCCCCTTGTACAAGGAGCGCTGGGGCTTAGTGGGCCCGGAAACGGCAGGGCCGTTTTTTCACCGTTTCCGAAAAAGTGTCCCTTGACAATGGAAACGGCAAAAAAACGGCGACCGGAAACGGCAAAAAAACGGCTCCAGGATTGGAGCCGGAGCCGGAACAGGTAACAAAAACGGCGACGGAACCGGTAAAAAAACGGCGTCGGAACCGGAAACAAAATCGCAAAACGGAACCGGTAAAAAAACGGCCCTGTCGTTTCCAGGGCCCACTGAGCGCTGGGGGTGCTCATGGCCTGGCGTCTCTTCGGAGCCCCGAGCACGAGCTGGCCTCCTGCTCCTCAGCGAGCCCCGTGGCACCCTGTGCTGCCAATGGGGTGCTCCTGCCAAGAGAGAGTGGAAAACGGCGATCCAAGCAACGCACAGCTCGGTGTCGCGTGTCTTCTTCTTCCTCGAGGGAGCCGTGGACCCTTCTGTCAACCATTGCCGCCATGTGGCCGTCTGCCGCGTGTCTCGGACCCTTCCCTCGACCCCGTCGCACGACGACGACGACGGTGACGACGGCGACGGCGGCGACGGCGCGGCAGATTGCCCGCGTGCGCGGCCCGCGGTTGGGTCGGCGCCCGCAGGTCTTCCCCGACCACTGCGGTGACGATGACCCTAAATGCAGCAAGTTCGGCTTCTACGGGGACGCGGGGTGCCCCCTCAGAGAATGGGGGAGGGAAAGGGAGAGGGGAGGAGAGGATGGGAGAGGAGAAGGAGGAAAAGAAGGAGCCATGATGAATGATGATGAGGAGGAGGAGGGGGGAGGAGCGAGGAAGAGAAGAAGGATGGACGACGACGATGATGATGGTGGTGATGACGATGATCTAGAAATGATGACGATCTGACATTCACGATGGTGATAGTGATGATGATGATGATGTTGATGGTGCTGGTGATCATGCTGATTGTGATGATGATGCTGATGATGATCATGAGGATGATGATTCGGATGAGGATGATGATGATGATTATGATGGTGATGGTGATGGTGATGGTGGTGATGATGGTAATGGTGATGCTGACGACGATATTCATGACGATACTGATGCTTAATTTGATGCTGATGGTGAAAATCCTAATACTAGTAATGATGATGATAAGTATGATGATGCTGGTGATGATGGTGATGAGGCTGATGACGAAGATAATGATGATAAGCTTGGTGATGATAGTGATGATGGTGGTGATGGTGATTATGATGCTGATCATGATCGTGCTGTTGATGATGATGGCTGTGGTGATAATGATGATGGCGGTGATGATGCTGATGATGATGATGCTGATGCTGCTGATGATGATAAAGATAAGGATAAGGATGATGATGATAATGATGATGATGATGATGACGATGATGATGATGATGATGATGATGATGAGGATGATGAGGAGGAGGAGGAGAGGACGAGTGCGCCCTGAAGCGTTGCCGCTTCAGGGCGCACTCGTCGTAGTGATCATCATGGTGGTGGTGATGGTGATCATCGTCATGGTCGTGGCGGTGCGGCCGCTGAATCCGCGGGGGTCGTAGTCGCCCGCCGCTGGCGCAGAGGCCGACGCACGTTGTGTCTCTACCGCCCCAGGCCCCAGGCACACGAGCCTGTAGAAGGACGGCGGATGAGGCGGTGGATAGTTGCTGGATGATGATTGTTTGGGTTTTGGCTTCGCCACAGCATGCCTACCCGCACACCCGATCACATGTACCCGCCCGCACTATCGTAAAGTTTCACTCCTTCACACCATCGCGGCGCGACCAGAAAGTTCCCTCCTTCAGCACACGTTGTAGCCAGTCGCGCAATCAAGCTTCCCCTCCATGACAAGGGGGCAGTGACGTAGGTGAGCGACATAAACGTGTCGAGGACCTCAACATGCTCGCCGAGGAATGCCGTGCAAGTCGATGAACTCATGCGTGCGTCGCGATCAAGTTTGCGAACTTATTCGTGCATGTCGATGGTTGCGTTGATGAGCACTGGGGCGATCGCAGAACATCTGACAGGATGCTCAAATCTGGTATTGAAGCACCACCGGCTTGTACTATGCTTTGTGAAGAGCTCGATGCCAGATATCTTCGGTAATTAATTGCGGTTGGAGGGTTTAGTTTCTTGCGCGCGAGCGCGGGCATGTGTCTTGTATCTTTCTTTTACGGAAGATTCATATCATGGATCAAGCAATTACCACCCTATAGTATTTTGTTTGCAACGTTTCTTGCCGGAGTTGGATGGGGCGTCGGACCGAACCTGATTTTCACACATGTAGGACTGATGTGGTGTTCACCGCATGACATCATGTACAGGGAATCGCGCCAGGGCAGACTGGGCGGATCACCGCGTGGTATTACTTCACGTGTAGGATTAACGTGGAGCCCATAAAGCGTAGGAAATCATATCGGCATCGATCCGGTCCTCTGGTCTCATCAGGTGTAAGCAGCTATGGGAAAATATCATCAAGTTTGCTGCAGAACACGGTCATACCCACCCATCCTCCTTGTAGTAAAGACTTCTCCCGTCTAGCCCCGTCGCGTCCGAACAGTCCCATCTTATCAATCCAAGCAAGGCGATTCACATTTGGTCCGATTGTTGAGGATCTCATTATCTTCTTCGCCGGATCCCGTCTGAAGCCCATGCAATTTGAATTCATACAGGATCATGTTGCACAGGATCATGACGGACAGGATCATTGGATCATGTTGCACAGGTTTGAAATCCATCCCGTATGGATCATGCTGCACAGGAGCACTAGTTCGCAGGAAGTATGCCAGGACTTTGTCACATATGTCGTTGGCGCGCAATTTTTTCTGTTTGGGGAACTCGCCCTTGAAAGGATTGAACAATCAATGAGTTTGAATGATATTGTCTGGCGCGCGTGCGAGCACGCGAATGTGGCCAGCATGGTGTTAGCTCATTGGGGTTCGCAACCTAGATCAAAGTAAGTCTACCGCGGGATACTCTTTACAAGGGATCTTGCAGGGGTCGGATGGGGCGGATCACCGAATTGCATGCTTTTGTTCACTGGTTGGATGGGCACGGTATCCATACAGCATACCAAACCACATGGAACATTGCCAAGCCGGTTGCGGCCAGCGTGGCGCATGAGGGAGAGCATCTTACACTACACAAAGCATGGTATAGACTTGTTTGTTGCTGCAAGCGATCATACCCAGCCGCCCACCGATTACAAAGCTGAAGTTCTACAAACCATCGTGGGCGATCATATGCTGCCCTCTCCTCAACCCGCCGCTTCCGATGAGGATGATGAAGATGCTGGTTTTGCCGATCACTGCTGTGACATTGACGCCGATATCACCCAACATATTTTCGGATGCAACTCCTGGGAGGTCCAATTCTGTTTTCGCCCTGGTCCGAAATCCGGCTTAATCCAGCCCAATCCCGCTTTATCCAGCTTCATCCCGCTTGATGTCGCTCAGTCCGGCTGAATCCTGCTGGGTCCGAGGCCCTTTTTCCGGAGTAACAGCTCCCAAATGGGGCTTAAGCCTCCTTAGTTCTTCCGACGAAGACCTCCCAGCAGTTGCCTCCCAACATGTTTATGCAACATGTGCGTCGGCCCCCCCCCCCCAAGAGGACGCGCGCGTTCAGAGCTGGTGCAGCCTACGCTTGGTGGCGGGCTCTTTCTGGCCATACCGCTTCGGCCACGATGTAGCGAGCTCTTTCTGGCCATACCGCGGGCTCTTTCTGGCCATACCGCTTCTGGCCATACAAGCGTTTGTGCTGTGTGTTCCTCTCTGGACGTGCGCCTCTGCGGGGTGCGCATAGTACTGGTACAGTGGGGGCGCGCATCAAGAGACCATCTACTGTTCGTTCTGGGTATCCTGGGTTTCTTCGCTCCGCGCGCTGCGCTGCGCGGTGACTTCCCGCAGCCGTTGGAGAAGCTGCTGCGTTCAGGGTGCTCCAGGCTTCCCCTCAAGTGCACCTCGCGCGCGGGTTTTCAGGGTTGGGTTTCTCGCGAGGGTTTCTTGCGACCGCGCCCGCACTGTATGTCGTCCGGGCCGTGTTGATGACGATGACGATGGTGACGATGATGCCGGGAGCGGCCAAGAGGGGGATGAAGATTGGGGGGGGGGATGTCATGGCGGGGGCTATGATGTCTCCCCAGATTTCATGGCACTTCTTCTTATTTCAATACCTCCCTGGGGCCCCCCCTGGGCCGCGCACATGCCGCCGGCCATGATTTGCGCCCCCCCCTCTCGGACGCCCTCCTCTTGGCCGCCTCCGATAATGATGAGGACCAGGATCTTGTCGGTGACGATGTTGCTGGTGATTACGATGGAAATGGTGAAGATAATGGTTTTGCGAGTGAAGGACCATTCGTTTGTCCCATGTGTTTGATTAGATCGATGTTTCAACGCTTATCATAAAGTCTCTTGTGTTTGATTGAACTTGACTCGGGCGCGCGCGCGCGTGAACGCACCCGTGGTGAGCATGATCATATTTCATAGGGTTTGCAACATATTTAATCCTTTAGCAATGATAAGTTTCTGGGTCGGATCGGATTTCGCGCCGAATCGCATTGATTCGCCAGTCCGATGGACGTGTTGCCCACAATACGTATGACATGTGAATCACATGACAGTTTTGGGAGTGGATGCGTCGTGGGCCCTCTTGGGGGCCTCTTGGTGCCTCTTTGGGGGTGTCTTGGGGGCCTCTGGGAGACCCTTGGTGGCCTTCTGACAAGTCTCGGAGGTCACTTTTGGGGGAAAAGTTGTCGGGCCTGTCCCTGTACAGGGGGGAAGTTGAAAAATAGGCGAAAAATTCTGAGGGGACAATTTTTGAGCATGTGTTGATTATTTAATCGCTTCGCTCATTCCGCCGGCCCATAATGTCGCACCGTGGTCGCCTGTCCGAGTGGTCGTTTGCAGTGTGGAGCTGCGGCGTCAGGAGCTGTGTAGTGTTGGGGGCGTTCTTGGGGCCCTCTTGGGCCGTCCTGGAGGCCTCTGGGGCCGTCTTGGAGCCGTCTTGGGCCGTCTTGGGGCCCTCTTGGGGGCCTCTTGGGGGCCTCTTGGGCCCTCTTGGGGCGATCTTGGAGGCCTCTTGAGCCGTTTAGGGGCGTCGGGGAACCGAAAAGGTTGAAACGCCCAAATCTGTCCAACACCAAAGGAAAAGCACAGGTTTTTGCCTCTTGGGGCCCTCTTGGGAGTTCTCTTGGAGGCCTCTTGGGGCATCTTGGAGGCTTCTTGGGCCATCTTGGAGACGTCTTGGGCCGTCCGGAGGCCATCTTGGGCGTCGTGGAGCGATCTTCGGGCGTCTCGGACCTCTCTTGGACCGTGTTGGGGGCGTTCTTGGGGCCCTCTTGGGCCGTCTTGGAGGCCTCTGGGGCCGTCTTGGAGCCGTCTTGGGCCGTCTTGGGGCCCTCTTGAGGGCCTCTCGGGCTCTCTTGGGGCGATCTTGGAGGCCTCTTGAGTCGTTTAGGGGCGTCGGGGAACCGAAAAGGTTGAAACGCCCAAATCGCCCAAATCTGTCCAAAACCTAAGAAAAAGCATTGATTTTTGCCTCTTGGGGCCCTCTTGGGAGTGCTCCTGGAGGTCTCTTGGGGCATCTTGGAGGCTTGTTGGGTCATCTTGGAGACGTCTTGGGCCGTCTGGAGGCCATCTTGGGCGCCGTGGAGCGATCTTCGGGCGTCTCGGACCTCTCTTGGATTGTGTTGGGGGCCTCTTGGGGCCCTCTTGGGGCGATCCTGGAGGATCTGGGGGAGTGTCCCGGGCTCCGCCCTGGCTCCGCCCGGGCTCCGCCCGGGGTACTTTTGATCCAGGGACCCCCAGGGGCCGCCCCGCGCGCGCGAACTAAAAATCCTGTTTACCAGTTACCGGAGATCTTAGCACGCCTCTGGCCCGTTGGGCCAGCGAATTTTTGAGCAATTGTTCGTCCAAAATCCGCCTGTGGGGGGACACGCCCGACCTAAGGGAAAGGGCTCGCAATCCCCAGTGGCGCTCCCCCTCTTTTAGGCCCCTCCTGGGGGCCTCTGGAGCCCTCTCTTTGTATCTCTTAGGCTGTTATGGGGCTCTCTTTGGCCGACGTGGGGCCTTCTTTGGAGCCTTCGCTTTCCCCCTCTTCCTCCTCCTCCTGCTTTTCCTCCTCCTCCTCCTCCTCCTCCTCCTCCTCCCTCCCTCCCTCCCTCCCTCCCTCCTCCCTCCCTCCCTCCCCCTCCCTCCCTCCCTCCCTCCCTCCCTCCCTCCTTCATCCTCCCTCCTCCCTCCTCCCCTCTCGGGGCGTCTCTCGGGCCGTCCTGGGGCATCCTGCTCTGTGTTTGTGCGTGCTTCTTCGGGCTAATTTGACCGCCTTCGAGCAATCTCGGCGGCCATCTTGGGCTCTTCTGAAGCATCGTTCAAGAAACATTGTTGGTTTGCTTCTTGCGACCCGTTAGAGGATCTTCTTGGAGCCTTCGTGGGGCGCCTTGGAGGCCTCCTCTTGGGCCGTCCGGAGGCCGTCTCCGAAGGAGCTTGGGCAGTATCGTGGCCTCCTAGATCGTCCTGGGGCCCTGTCGGCAGCGTCTTGTCACGTCTTGGGATTACCAGCACGCCCCGTGGGGGTCACGCGGTGATCCGCAGAAAGTCCTGCAATTTGGGCCATGGGCTCCTTCATGAGTATCCAGGATACCCCAAACAGAGACCCCGAAGCAACCTGATGACACTTCACCCCGTGCCTTCGGCACGGTTGGTGAGGGTTCGCGTTGCGCACAGACAGTCCCCCAAGGTAACACAGGCCTCGGAAAAATTAGCGAACACTCATGCCACATTCATCTGTCAACGCCTCCGCCTCCCCCCAATGTTCAAAGTTGGCGGTGGGTCTGACGAGTTGCACCTCGACCGCAGTCTCCCCCGCGCGTGCCAACTTTGAGTTTGGGGGGCAGGGGGGGGGGGGGGGTACTAATCCCACCAGCCCTCTGGGCGTCGGTGGTTTAGAGAGTTTTCTCTTCCACCCCTCCTTCTTCCCCTTCGGGGAGGGGTTTATCATTGTTCCCTATTAATAAACACCCCCTCCCCCAGGCGACTGGGGGCCAACCAGGGTCCATGCCGAACCCCCCCCACCATCCCTTTGTAAAAAATAGGCGGACGAAAGACCCAACCATACGTAGTTGTGAAAACCGCAATTGTGGATATATTCCTCGGAAGCGCCCCCGGGCCACGAAACGAGTGAGGGGTGTGCCGAAATGGGGGGGTGGAACCGCATGCGGGCGCAGCCACTGGGGCGTTCGGTTGAACTCCCTATGGGGCCACGAAACGTGTGAGGGGGTGTGCGAGAATGGGGGGTGGAACCGCATGCGAGCGCAGCCACTGGGGCGCTCGGTGGAGCTCCCTATGGAGCCACGAAACGTGTGAGGGGTGTGCCAGAATGGGGGGTGGAACCGCATGCGGGCGCAGCCACTGGGGCCTTCGGTGGAGCTCCCTATGGGGCCACGAAACGTGTGAGGGGTGTGCCAGAATGGGGGGTGGAACCGCATGCGGGCGCAGCCACTGGGGCCTTCGGTGGAGCTCCCTATGGGGCCACGAAACGTGTGAGGGGTGTGCCAGAATGGGGGTGGAACCGCATGCGGGCGCAGCCACTGGGGCCTTCGGTGGAGCTCCCTATGGGGCCACGAAACGTGTGAGGGGTGTGCCAGAATGGGGGGTGGAACCGCATGCGGGCGCAGCCACTGGGGCCTTCGGTGGAGCTCCCTATGGGGCCACGAAACGTGTGAGGGGTGTGCCAGAATGGGGGGGGAACCGCATGCGGGCGCAGCCACTGGGGCCTTCGGTGGAGCTCCCTATGGGGCCACGAAACGTGTGAGGGGTGTGCCAGAATGGGGGTGGAACCGCATGCGGGCGCAGCCACTGGGGCCTTCGGTGGAGCTCCCTATGGGGCCACGAAACGTGTGAGGGGTGTGCCAGAATGGGGGGTGGAACCGCATGCGGGCGCAGCCAATGGGGCCTTCGGTGGAGCTCCCTATGGGGCCACGAAACGTGGTGAGGGGTGGTGCCAATTGGGGGGTGGAACCGCATGCGGGCGCAGCCACTGGGGCCTTCGGTGGAGCTCCCTATGGGGCCACGAACGTGTGAGGGGTGTGCCCGAATGGGGGGTGGAACCGCATGCGGGCGCAGCCACTGGGGCCTTCGGTGGAGCTCCCTATGGGGCCACGAAACGTGTGAGGGGTGTGCCAGAATGGGGTGGAACCGCATGCGGGCGCAGCCACTGGGGCCTTCGGTGGAGCTCCCTATGGGGCCACGAAACGTGTGAGGGGTGTGCCAGAATGGGTGTGGAACCGCATGCGAGCGCAGCCCACTGGCCTTCGGTGGGCTCCGTGGGTCCACGAAGTCGTGTGAGGGGTGTGCCAGAATGGGGGAGCCGAACGCGCAGCGCAGCCTACTGGGGCCTTCGGTGAGCTCACTATGGGGCCCAAGAAACGTGGTGAGTGTCGCGGCGGCTGACGAGGCGATGGCTCCGGCACCATGATGATGATGATGATGGGAATGATGAATGTGATTGATGATGATGCTGATGATGATGATGATGGAAGATGTAGATTATGATGATGAATGATATGATGAATGATGGTGATGGTGATGATGATGATGATATGATGATGATGTTGATGATGATGATGATGATGATGATATGATGGTGATGAGGTGATGGTGATGGTGATGGTGTGATGATGATGATGATGATGATGATGATGATGATGATGATGATGATGATGATGATGATGATGATGATGGCGATGATGACGATGACGATGGCGAGGAGGAGGAGGAGGGAGGGGGCAGCGGGAGGAAGGAAGGAGACGCGGGGCACCGTCTCTTTCAAAACGAGGACCCAACACCACAGGATGGTTGGGAACAATACAAACACACACACACACACACTGCCTCATAATTCGGAACATGCGCAGCCAACCCGATGCGGGCCCCCCCCCACCATCCCTGTCAAAACACAATACAGAGTACACTTGGCGGCGGCGGCGGCTGCGGAGGCTGCGGCGGCGGCGGCGGCGGCGGCTGCGGCTGCGGCGGCGGCGGCGGCGGCGGGGGCGGGGGCGGCGGCGGCGGCGGCGGCGGCGGTTTGGCCCGGCGGCGGTGGCGGCAGCGGCAGCGGCTGCGGCGGCGGCGGCGGCGGCGGTTTTGGCAGGGGGGCCGGCGGCGGCCGCGGGGTGCGCGGCGCGGCGGCGGCTTGGCGGCGGGCGGCGGCGGCGGGACAGGCGGCGGCGCGTGCGGCGGCGGCGGCGGCGCGGCGGCGGCGGCGGCGTGCGGCGGCGGCGGCGGCGTGCGGCGGCGGCGGCGGCGGCGGCGGCGGAGGCGGCGGCGGCGGCAGCGGATTGGCCCCCAGTAGCTGCCCATTCCAAGGCGACTGCTGAATATGCTGAGGGTCGGGCCAGACTCGGGTGCTACATATGTGTTGGGAGGGCGGGTGGGAGTGAGCGAGACGGCTTGCGGGCGGGGAGGGGGTAACTTGACCCCTCCCCCTACCCCCTCCCCGTGGACCCGGACGGGGGGGGCCGCGAGCGGTCAAAGCGTCCAAGACGGCCTCGGGGCGGGGCAGGGGGGGTGTTTACTAATTGTTTCCCTCTGCCGTAGCACCCCGAGTAGCTTGGTGCGGCCTCAACACCAAGGTTCGGGCGCGGAGCGCCTCAGGGGGCGCCACCGGAGGCTGCGCCAGGGTGCTGAAGCCGCCCCTGGCTACTCGGAGGGCCTGCTGAGGCCAGTCGGGACTGCTTGCAGGCCTGGCCTGTGCGCAACCCGAGGCCTTCCCAGGCACGGTAGCGGACGTTCCTTTAGACCACGCGTTACAGCTGGGCCGAGGTACGAGATCGAGGTCGGCTCGGGGAGGGTTCCCTAACGTTCTTCGTGTTTGCATCCTGGGGAGGGTGCCCTAGGATGTTCTGTGTATTTTGGCCGGCGGAGAGTCTCATGTCCTTGAGGGATGCTCTTCTGGCTTTGGTTCGATTGTATCATCACCTCCTCCAGGACGACACCCCGACGAAGATGATGGCGAGGTCCCTGCTCTACAAACTATGCCAGTTCGGAGTTGACGACAAAGTCAGCGTGGCGCGCCCTTCGCCGCCGTCTGGGCGAGGTGGCGGAAGGCGGCGGACGATGGAGTGGGCGTTCGAGCCGTAAGCAAGCTTTCAGGGAAAACCGAGGGTGGAAACACAAGGAAATCCTGAAAAGACGTAGTTATTCGGCAGCAAATCATGGGAGCCTGTTATATCCTCGCGATTCCGTCTTTCGTGCGTCGACTAGCGTGGACAAGCGTCTAGGAGTCGATGACATAGCGCCGATTTAGCGACGGCTAGCGTCGATTAGCGTCGACCAGAGTCGATTAGCGTCGACCCGCAAGAGCCGACAGGATGGTATGGGGGGCTCCCATGAGCTGCCCCCGAATGTTTTTTCTGGCCACAGAGTGGACGTGAAGGACCGGGGCGCCACTCTTCAGCGGCGCCAGGGCGAGGCGGAGGGAGGAGGGGGGGATGGAGGGATTCTGGGGCAGTGTGATGGGGGAGCGGGCAGGCTCAGAGAGGGGGCACATCGACCCTCAATCGCCCGCTCCTCTCCGAGCCGGGCCAGGTTGCCCACCCCGCCCAAGAAGGTGCCGGTCCGCCATCGGCGGCCTGTCGCCGACGTGGGGGTCCTCCCCCCCCTTGGGGGGTGAAGGCGCTGCAGGAGAGGTGCTTGTCTGTCTTGTCATCCTTTGGCGCAGGACGGTCGTAACCCGGGCCAAGCACCCGCGGGTAGCGGTGGCCCCACACATGCTGGTGCTCACGCGCTCACCATGGCGGTCGCAGCGCACCCCCGTACCGACGTGCGCTCCCCTCCCGCCCTGGCGTTACCGGTATCCGTCACTCCCGGGGAAAGAGCGTTACTTGAAGTCATAACACAATTACCCGGGACGTACCCGATCCTTTCTCCACGCGAGGCGAGTATTTGCCTGAACGCTCCAAAAGAAAGAACGCGTCGCCAGATATGCACGATCTACGTTGCCCTCATCTCCGCCGTGCCTCTCAGGAGCCCTCGAAACGTGGCGACTCTTGGGCACTTCGTAGCCTTCCACGGGGCCGCGAGGTCTCGGCTGGATCCGTGTGCCCCCAACTCCGCTGGACCTCCCAGGAGCCCACGAGAATGGCGACCGCTTCGCAGTGCAGCAGCGAGGTTTCAGACGGGCGCGCGTGGCCCCCCGACTCCACTGGACCTCCCAGGAGCCCGTGATGGTGGCACTTGCGCACTTCGCAGCCGCCCAGGGAGCCGCGAGGTCTCGTCTGGGTGCGCGTGGCCCCACACTCCGCTGCACCGCCCCTGAGCCCGCGAAAGTGGCGACGGCTGCGTAGGTCGCAGCCACCCGGGGGGCCGCGTGGTCTCGCCGGGTGCACGTGGCCCCCGACTCCGCCGGAGCTCCCAAGAGCCCCCGAGAGTCGTGACAGTCTGGCAGCTCCCTGGGGAGGCGCGAGGTCTGCAGGCGGCCCGGATTGGCAGGTCGACCCTGCCAGATCCAGGGTACCCTCGTGTCCTGTGTCTTGCGACCCATGCCTTCTGCATTTCTGTGGAAACGTGGCCCTCGGAAGGGTCTTGGGTCCTCTCGCGTGTCCTCTCCAATCAAGTCCGACTGTAGTCTGGGTGCACCGCTCCGCTGGACCTCCCAGGAGCCCACGGAAGTGGCTACGGCTTCGCAGTTCGTAGCCCCCCCCCCAGGGGGCCGCGAGGTCGAATCTTGGTGTGCGTACGACACCACTTCGCTGGACCGCCCAAGAGCCCACTAAAACGACAGGTTCGCAGTTCGCAGCCCCCCAAAAAACCGAGAGGTATGACACCACTCCGCTGGACCTCCGAGGCGCCCACCGAAGTGGTGACGGTTTCGCCGTTCGCAGACACCCTGGGAGCCGCGAAGTCTAGCTTGGGTGTGCGTCTCTAACGACTCCGCCGGACCTCCCAGGAGCCCACGAATGTGGCGAAAGGTCCACAGCTCGCACCCCCCCGGGGAGCCGCGAGGTCTAGCCTGGGTGTGCTTGACATCACTCCGCTGGACCTCCCATGCGCCCACTAAAGTAGTGACAGCTTCGCAGTCCGCAGCAAACTCGAAGCTCCCAGGGGGTCGCGAAGTCTAGCCTGGGTGTGCGAAGGACGCCGCTCCGGACCTCCCAGGAGACCACAAGTGTGGTGACGGTTTCGCAGTTCGCAGCCCCCTGGGAAGGCGCGAGGTCTAGCCCGGGTGTGCGTATGACGCCACTCCGCTTGACCTCCGAGGAGCCCGCAAGAGTGACGACGGCGTCGCAGTCACCAGTGCCCCAGGAGGCCGCGGGGCCCAGTCTGGGGTGTGCGTGGGGCTCCGCCCCGCTGGACCTCCCGGGAGCCCACCGAGAGTGGCTGCAGCTGCGCAGCTCGCGGCCTCGCAGGGTGCAGCGCAGGAGGAGGAGGCAGACGGCGGGAGAGAAGGGAGGCGGGGAGGAGAAGGGCGGCGGAAGGAGGAGGAGGAGGAGGAGGAGGAGGAGGTCGAGACTTACGTCGGGCCTGTCCCTCTACAAAGAGACGAGTCAAACATAATCAAAAAATAGTCGGGGGACTAGTCTTAAACTATGTTTGAGCATGTTTGATGTTTTTGTTTGCTGGGGGGGGGGTATGTTGAATTTTTCGCCCAAAATCCCCCTGTAGGGGGACGCGCCCGACTTAAAGTGGAGACCACAGGGCTCCATTCACAAACGAGAGCCCGGCACAGGAAGGTTGGGAAACACCATCTGAAGACTCTTTTGACCTCGTATCCGCCGTATTGTGTTTGATTTCCGACTTGAGAGTGTGTCGGAAATGCACCCCGCACGATGTGAATAAGCAGGGCGGATGTTTCGCCTCAGAAGAGGATGGTGGATGTATCCGCAAGGGTATGGCGGAAACACCGGCGTCGAAGCAGGGCGGACTTCAGCATCCAGGGAGATGAACATCTCCGCCCCACTGATTTACGAAGTCGCCCAGAGTATGGCGGGTCCTCGCCGTCCTCCTCCTCCTCCTCCTCCTCCTCCTCCTCTTCCTCCTCCACCTCCTCCTCCTCCTCCTGCTCCTGCTCCTCCTGCTTCTCCTGCTCCTCCTGCGCCTCCTGCTCCTGCTCCTCCTCCTCCTGCGCCTCCTCCTCCTCCTCCTCCTCCTCCTCCTCCGCCTCCGCCTCCTCCCCTACCCCTCTTCCTCCTCCTTTCTTCTCCTCCTCCCCTCCTCCTCCTCCTCCCCTCCTTCGCCTCCTCCTCCTCCTCCTCCTCCTCCTCCTCCTCCTCCTCCTCCTACCCCTCCTCCTCTTCCTCCTCCTCCTGCTCCTCCTGCTGCTGCTCCTCTTTCTCCTCCTCCTCCTCCTTCTCCTCCTCATTCTGCTCCTCCTCCTTCCTCGAGTCTCCTTTCTTCCTCTTCCTCTTCCTCGTACTTCTCCCCGCCTTCGCCTCGGGCCTCGTGGGGCTGGGCGGCCCCTGGCCCTCCCAGCGGAGGCTCCGCGGCTGTGGCGTTCCCCCCCCCCCCCTCCCCGCCCCCCCCCGCTCTGGGGGCGGCGGTGGACGCGTACAGTGGAGACCCATGCCAAGAAACACCTTGCTTGCCTCCAGGGTGCCCTGGTTTCTTGGGCTTCGCTGGTTCCTGCCATGGAAGCGTGACGTCCCCGTGCCAGAATTCGGTGGGCGTCCTGGGGTCTCAGGGTTGGGTTTCCTGTGGCCTGTGGAAGGTTTCTTGTGGTCGAGTTGGTGCCTGGGCAGTGGGGGGGGGAAGAGGTGGGCGGCGCGCCCGGGGGGGGAGGGGTGAGTGGGGCAGGCCTTCTCTCTGGGCCTCCCAGGTGGGGTCGGAGTAGACGGGGTCGGAGGATCGCGCCGCGTCGCCGATGCGGCTCGATGCGTAGCCCGACTTTCTCCGCGCTGGCGTCGCCGATGCACCGCCGACGTCGCCGATGCGAAAGTCGTCGTTCTCTTATTCACTTGTTTTGCCGATCGGCACGGGCCCTCGCATCCGCCCCCTCCCATGGAGTAGACCTCTTGGCTGTTCTTGGCGCCTGCTTCAAGCAGGTGGAGTCTCCCCCAATAGGGCGCACTGCTGCAAGCAGTCACATTTTAGAAGAGGTCCGGAGCCAGACCCCCCCCCTGATGGGTATGTCTTCCACCACCACCACCACCACCACCACCACCATAAGTTGGAGGGGGGAAGGAGGAGGAGGAGGATGAGGAGGAGGAGGAGGCGGAGGATGACGACGAGGAGGACGAGGAGGAGATTGAGGAGGAGGAGGAGGACCCCCTCCTCCTCCAACTTATGGTGGTGGTGGTGGGAAACACGCCCATCACCCCCCCTTCCGCCCCCGCTCCTCCTCCCCCTCCTGCTCCCCTCCTCCTCCTCCTCCTCCTCCTGCTCCTCCTCCTCCTCCTCCTCCTCCTCCTCCTCCTCCTCCTCCTTTTCTTCCACCTCACCCTCCTCCTACTGTTCCTCCTTCTCCTCCTCCTCCTCCCCCTCCTCCTCCGCCTCCTCCTCCTCCTCCTTCTCCTTCTCCTCCTCCTGCTCCTCCTCCTTCTCCTCCTCCTCCTCCTCCTTCTCCCCCTCCTCCCTCCTTCCGAGAGGCCGGGGGGCCTGCCGAGCCCTCTGAGCAGGCCCGCCCCCTCCGGCTTGCCTTCCCCCCCCCCCCTGGGCTCGCGGCCGGAGGGGATCGGCCCGTCCCAGGGGCAGGGAGGAGGGAAGGGAAGGGAAGGAGGGCTCGGAGGGGCCCCCCTGCGGTGTGGGGGGATTCGGGGCCACCGCGCGGTTCTGGGGGCCCGGGTCGTCCTCCGGGGGCGCCTCGGGCGACTGGGGCCTCCAGGGTCCCCGGGCCTTTCCGTTGGGGATGCGGATGTCACCACGCCGTCCGTCGCCACACGGTTTCGGGGCTCCGAAGGTGGAGCGAGAACGGAGATGGAGGGAGGAGGAGGCGGAGGAAGATCAGGGGCTTGGTCTCGTCGCTCTCCCAGTCCTTGTCTCGCGTGGAGGCGGGGGGGTGAAGGGAACGGACGGAGGGGGCTGATGAGTAGCAGGAGGGGGAGAGGGAGGAGGAGAGAGGGGATGATCCGGGA